CAGTCACGGGCTGGGAGTCACTAGATCGGACCCTCGTCCTCAGCTGCCGGCGCTTTGCTGGGGTTTGCAGCGTCTGCACCCCACGGTCACCTCACCTGCCACTCGGCGTCACCAGGTGGTGGCCCTACAGGGCCTCGTGCAGAGCCACGCTGTGGTCCCGTGGGCTCCCGGTGGCAGCGCCTGCACCGAGCGTGCGCCGGACCCGTGACCTTTCCTGCCCCGGCGAGGTGCCCAGGTCACCGGAGCTAAGCGTGGTGTGACGAGGCGTCCCACCCAGCTCCGCATCTCCCCGCGCCCCACGTTCTCGGGGGCCGGGCTGGCGTGTGGCTTCGCGCCTGCCCCGCGGCAGCCCCGCCGTTAGCCGCCCGCGGGCGCTGCAGGGTTCACGAAGCGGGGGGATGATTCGGCGGCTTCTGATTTCGCGCCTTTGCCAGTCAAGCTTGCTGCCGCTTCCCTCCGGAGGCCCCGTCTCCTCCCGGGTTGGGACCCAGCGTGACTTTGCTCTAGGGAAAAGGCCACGCGGACACGGGGGTGTCACAGCCCCACCGAGGGCCGGTGGGAACGCGGACTCTGGGGTGCCTGCCGCCTCCGCCGTCACCACAGTGCCGTGTCCTGCAGGAGCTCTCCCTTCGTCCCCGACCGCGTCTCTGCGGTCCGCGTCCCCTGGGGAGGGTTCCTCTTTCTCACCTCCCCCCCTGACGTCCCGCGTGACCCCCCGTGTGGGCACATGGACCGTGCGGACACCACCTGGTCCCTCCGTGGGTCTGAGTCCCACGTCCTGCTGGAGGAACCAGCTCCCTAACCCACAGGTACAGATGGGCAGCCCCTCACCTGCATCGCCCACCGTCCCCTCCGCCACGGAGACGCGGTGGCAGTCCCGTGATCGCGCCTGTGGCACTATTCAGGGACGTCTATTGTCCTGCAACCAGAGTGACTCCCTCCACCACCTGGTCCCTCCGTGGGTCTGAGTCCCACGTCCTGCTGGAGGAACCAGCTCCCTAACCCACAGGTACAGATGGGCGGCCCCTCACCTGCATCGCCCACCGTCCCCTCTGCCGCGGAGACACGGTGGCAGTCCCGTGATCGCGCCTGTGGCACTATTCAGGGACGTCTATTGTCCTGCAACCAGAGTGACCCCCTCCTTCTGCTGTTAATCTCCATGAATGTCTCTGTCCAAGTGCGGCCACCGCCCCTGAAATTTATAAAATAGGGTCTCACAGGGCTTAAAACTCTAATGTCCGTGAAGCCCTCGTGTTGACGTCCCCATCGCGGGCTGGGGCCGAGCCCGGCAGTGACCGCGGACTGGGCAGGAGGACGTGGCAGGCGCCCCTCTTAGCACCTGCCCCCCCGTGTGCCCAGGGCAGCTGGTTGGCGGCGAGCCCATGGTGGCCTGACCCCGTGCCTTCCTCTGCAGCCAAGCCCTGCGTGTGACTCCCACAGGGACCGTCACCTGATGGGACATCGCAGGGGCACAGCGGCTGCAGGACCCGAGAGGGGCCTCCAGCTGCAGGCAGGCGCGTCACAGGTGCTCCTGCAGAGGGCTCTGGACACGTGGCTGCCCACAGTGGCTGCCGGCAGCGTGGTCCCCAGCAGGTTCCGGAAGGCGGATGGGCTGGGGCAGCCGGGAGGTGACCCACACTGAGGGCGGAAGGGGCCCTGGTCGGCCTGGACCGTGACAGGCGGTGGCCCACGTGGGTGTGTCCGTCCCCTGGTGCCGATGGCAGGGCTGGGCAGGACCGCGCGCGTGTGGCCCCTCAGCGCACAGCGGAGGCTCGGGTTGAGGACGGCGCCCTGCGGGCTGGATGGGGGACAGCGGATCTGGAGCGTGGGGAGCGCATCGGCCTCCTTGCGCGCTGGCCGAGCCGGGACCCCCTCGGCGGCCTGCGTGGCCGCGGACAGTCGCCGGCTCACACGGCGGCATGTGCTGCCGACATCGTTTCTGTTCGCCCGCCGGAGGACGAGACGGTTTCTGCGGTGTGCGATTTCGTCCCCTCCAGACACCTGATTTTTCCAGAGTTTTCCAGGAGGGACTCACTAGCCGGGGAAGACGGTTTGGCAGCCTTCCACAAGGCGCTCCCTGGGGCCCAGCTGGGAGGGCGGTCAGCTCCTGGCAGACCCGACCGAAGACGCCCGCCCCCTCCCCGCAAAGCACCCTCTGCTCATCCTCAGACAGAATTTGCTAAATGCAGTTCAAAGGCGATCAATACCGTGCAGGGGGGGGTTCCCCACCTTTTCCTAAACAAAACGCATTCCGGAGGATTAGTTTATTCACAGACTGCCGGGAGCGTTAATGACCCCGAGCCTCGTCTGCCCGTCACCCAGATGGCTGTTGATAAAGATTTAGCATCATGTTCTAAGTGTCAGGGCTGTCAGTGGGGCTGAACCATTTGACCAGAAGAAAAAAACGCACAGGGAGCTATTGATTACAGCTTCTCGGTGTCACTTGTTCACCAGGATTTAGGTATTGATGAGGCCGCGAGTGAAAACAAGCTTTCCCGTGGGCCGCGGGCGCGGGAACAAAGGCGAGGCTGGAGAGAGCCTCACCGGCCTCCGGATCAGGGATTCCGCTATCGACCGAAGGACCCCTTCGCGTTCTTCTCGTTGGAGACAAATCTCTGGGTTTGGAAGTTTTATAGCGTTCGAGAAAGGGTCTGTGTAAGTGATGGATTCGTGGATCGGATGAGTTAGGTCTCACAGCATGAAGATTTCAATGCCGCTGTGATACGAGCTGCTTGGTTATTGATAAAAATTACATTTTATGCAGCACGGGCTTGGCGTGGAGGGCGCTGCTCCTTTGAAATGTCCTTCGGGCCCCAATAAATCTCAGCAGGTTTCGTTATTTTAATAGTGCAAAACCTGCCACCAAATTACAGAAACAGAAGCGGCGTTGTCCGTCTCTGGTGTAAAAACGGCGCATGTTGGGGATGTCGCCTGCCCCCCCGCACGGCGTGCATACAGCGAAGCCTGGTCAGCAGCTGCCATTGCAGCTAATTGTGGTTTCCAGTCGGCAGCCCTGTGACCTGCACGGTTTGTGGAAAGAGACGGGTTCGTGTTACACACCTTGCTAATTTCAGAGCTTGTTCAGAGGGAGGGAAAACTCAGAGTTCGCTTGCAAAACCCGTTAGGTAGGAAGGTTGAATTGGTGCCTAAATGTTTGCAAGACTGAGTCGAATTCAGTGCCCGCCTCTTGCTCAGTCAGAAAGTTGAGTGGTGCCCTGTCTCATCCTGTCCTCACAGCGGGCGTTAGCGTGACCGCGGTGTAGCCTGAGTAAATATTTCACTCAAACTCCGCCGCCCCTTCCCAGACGGCGATCTAGGCCGCTGGCGGGACTTGGCAGTTACTGCTCTTCGGTCCGCGCAGCTACGGCGAACAGGAAATCGACTCGCGCCCTCACCCCGCTGCCCGCGGAGACGGCGCGCGTTACCATGGCAACCCAAACGCACAGTGGGAATCGGCACGAGTGTGCGGTGCGGGGCAGTCAGAGCCCCCCTTCCAAGCCCGGGCCCCCCGGCCACACCTCGCGGGCCCCTGCGGGCTGTGCCAGGACTGGCGGGGAGCGTGAGGGCTGGACTCTGCCTCTCCTTCGCCTCTAAGCGGCCGTGCGAACTTGGACGTGAGGCTGATAGTGCCTGGCCTGGGGCACTAACGAGGAGACAGGCGTTGGAGCCCCAGAGTCCCTCCCCCATAGGAGCCTGCCACGAACGGCCGTGTCGTCACACTGTGGGACACAGGGGCGGACAGCGGATGTGGTGTGCCTTTCCCTGTGGTGTCTGCGGAGGGTCAGCACCCTTCCTCCCACCCCGGTCCCCCGTCTCTAGAGATGGCCCCGTTCCTGTGATCGTGCTCACCGGGGGTGACATCCATCGTGGAGCAGCCACCGTGATGTTTGCACAGTGATGAGACCTGTCACCGCTGCACGTCATGATGGAATGACTCAGCCGTGAGGCTGTCTCCCCGGGCTCACGGGCAGACCCTTTTCTCAGGAGCAGTTTGAAGTCTGCAGAGACCCCGCTGCATCCCCTTCCAGAAGCCCCCCGGGAGCAGCTCTGCCCATGCTCTGCGAACTGCTCACTGGGATCTCCAGGCAGCCGCCCCGCGATCCCCAGAGCCCCTCAGGCGGGGCACGCACTGCCCCTGGCGTGTGGCCACCGGCTGCCCAGGGGAGAGGCCCACCTCCCAAGACGACTCCACGCCCTGCGGCTTCAAGGGACCGTAAATTATACCCTTCTCCTCCTGCCATGTCCTGAGCCCACTGAGAAGTGGACAGAGGGCTTCGAGGTGCTAAGGCCTTCAGGAGAGCAAAGTGGCCTGGCAGAGGTGGCGTAGCCGTGGCTTCCACGACTTCCTGCCGGAGTGAGAGCGGCCTGTGCTGGCGCCAGCCCCAGCTGGGGCGGACGCCGACCGTGTCTCAAGCCCTTGGGGTGGGGGGCACAGCACGCTGTCTGAGGGGGTCCCTGGCGCCTGTGAGAGGGGTCATTGGAATTGCTGGCTGGCCTGTCACTGCCCCGGGGGTGGGGACAGCAGCAGCAGCCACTCAGGTGGGGAGGAAGGAAGCTGGAGCTTCTCAGACGTCCTGAGAATCCAGAGCTGGAGGAGAGGACTCAGAAATCCCAGGGCACGGTGGTGTGGCACGTGTCAGCAAGCCTTTCCTGCGAAGGGCCAGAGTATATATTTTAGGCTTTGCCAAGGCGGCCACCGGCTGGCTGCACCAGGGGGTCTCTGTGCCCACAAACCTGGATTTACTTCTCAGCGACGTGTGAGAACTTCACACACCGCCCATTATCTGGAAACGTGACTGTAAGTCTTGTGAGTACACGTCTGAGGTCACTGACCAGACGAACCTTTCTCTTCCCAAATCTCGGTGCAGAGGGGTTGCCGGAAGAGCCTTCTCCGCACGGTCACCTTTGCGCATGGAGTTCCGGGGGACTCACTGACGCAGCTGCCTGGGGACCTGTCCCCAGCCCCTGGCCAGTGCCTGCTCGCGGTCGAGCCGGCATGGCGGGCCCTGGTCCGTGTGCTCGGCCTCCGGTGCCGCGCACAGACTGACAGTGGCCCTCACTGTCCTGCAGGTCCCCATCCTCGTCCCCTGTCATCGAGTGGTCTGCAGCAGTGGAGCCGTGGGCAACTACTCCGGAGGGCCGGCCGTGAAGGAGTGGCTTCTGACCCATGAAGGCAGCCTGGCGGGCGGGCTGGCCCGTGTGGGCCGAAGTTGAGTGCGTGAGGTTGGAGTGAGTACGTGAGTGACACGTAGATGGAACCACCGTCGGAAGGAGCCGTGTGGTCACGTTGTAGTAAAAGAGCCAGTGTGTCCTGCGGCGTGTGTGTCCTCATTTTTCCGTCTGCGACAGCGAGCTCAGGAGGCCGGCCGCCGTGCACACGCTTTGTCCCGTCTCGCGTTAGGGTTCATCCCTGACGTCTGTTCGCACAGGGTGGAGGGTGGCGGGGCTGGAAATGCAAGGGCGGCGCCCGCTCTGGAACGCGGCAGCTGGTGCCCAGGGCACAGCTGGCTGCCTGGGACCCAGAACCAGCTGGGTCCAGAGCCAGCTACAGCCGCCAGGGCCCCGGGTCGCAGCCCCGGAGGGTGTTCCCGCCGTCCGGTCCTCCTGGCGGTCGGAGCGGCTGGAGGCCTTGCTGAGGGAGGCGGGTGGCCGTGGGGCGCTGCTGCGCAGGGCTCCGTGAATGCCGGAGGAGCAGGCGCGAGACGCGTCCCTTCCGACCTGTGTCCACGGAGCAGAAGGCAGCGGCTCGCCGAGGAGAGCTGAGAGGTGGACGCCCTTCGGGTGCGGTCCAAGGGGCAGGCGTTTCTCCTGGCCTTGGTGCACTCTGGACAGAGGGTGACGAGGGTCCCCGGCCTCCCCACTTAGCACCCCAAGGTTGAGCCTAGAGGTCAGGGGTCACACACGAAGCTGGGTTGCTCATGTTGCCGGTGGCGATGGGGAGCATCTCCATCATCCGCTGCGCTCCGCGGTCTGCTCTGTCGTGGTCACATTGTCGTCTCGGCTTCACGATGGACTGCAGGGCAGGGGGCAAACGCGTAGCTACGCGTGCGGGGAGATGGAACAGATTTACTCCGTGATACATGGAGTCAACATGCGACGCCCAGCCATGCGGCAGGAAGCTGCGTGTTCGTCGCGGGCTCCTGTGACAGTGTAAACCGCAGTAGAGACGCTCAAGTGGTTTGTATGCGTCACCAGGAACCGAGATGAGGCACAGCCGTGTGACGCGCACGGTCTGGGTGTGTTCTGTGCTTCACGTGACAACACCAACAGCGGACGGGGCATGAACTTCAGACCGTCCTCACCAACTTACGACCTGTTACACCCTTTCCTTACTCAGCCAGATTAATTCTAGATTTTCTTTCTTCTAAAGCGAAATGAGTGTCACCCATCTTCTGTCCTTCTCGGGGCTCAGGTCCGAGACAGCGGTGCCATGTTCCTGCAGTGGCTGCACGGACGCCCGGCCTGGGGACAGACCCCGAGCCTCACGGGCACCTCCCGCACCACGCAGCCCGCGTGAGCTGGGGGGTGGGGGGTCTTTGCATCTGGGGGTCGCAAAGGTGGCCGTGCTCCAAGCTCACCAGGGAAAGCTTCGCTCCAGTCACCGGTGGCCACTGCAGTTGTCCCTGCCCTGGTTCCTGCAGGCGGCTCGCCCTCAGCCGTGCGGGTCTCCCGAATGCGCTGCGCTAGGCTGCCCCGAGACCCCAGGCTCCGCTCTGCTTGAGGACGGAGCCCTCAGATGGGCTCTGTGACAGTCCCACAGAGCACGTTGTGCCATCGGGGCTGCCGGCAGATCAGCAGGCCTGTCGGTGACACTGTCAGACCCTGACGATGCTCCAGATGCCCCAAACTGCCACACGCTCTGCTCACAGGCCACCTCCCGGGCCAGGAGAGTGTGGGCCTCTCACGCAGGAGCCCTGCTCCGTGATCACCAGGTCCCAGCAGACTCTGAAGGATCCAGGCTCGGCGGCCACTCACATGCAGCCGCATGCAGCCATCAGAGCCATCTGAGGTGACCTTGCCACTCCGATGGCCCAGCACCGGCTGTCTGGGCCGCGGCCTCGCTGCAGTACACGCCCGCATCTGCGTTCCATCTCCCGGGTGCCTCGGCCCTGTCAGAGCCGGCTTGACACACGCCCTGAGGTTCCCGCCAACAGAGGCGGCCGCCGGGCTCACGCACCGTGGCCGTGTACTGCTCCAAGGACAAGCTCCGTAGAGGGACATGAAAAGCCGACGCGGGTGGCCTGGAGCCGCCTCCGCAGCTCAGGCTGCAGCAGGGCGGATGAAAATCAAGAAGAACAGGAAAGGCACAGAGAGGTACAACCGCGGTTTCCAGACGTGGGGGCTGTGGACGCGAGGAAGTCCCCGGCCCCCGTCCCCCCGCCTTCCGGCGCTGGGAGCTTTGAACGCTGACACGGGGACCGCGGGCGGCGTGAGCACTGGCTGCACCGCACCC